CTCTCTCTCGCCTCTCTGCGAGAGTTAGTAGAGGGAGCCATTAAAGCTTCCATGGCATCTCTTCTTGCTAGGTCGAATAGATTCCTTCTGAGACCTTCTGAGATACCGAATTCTCTATGCTCTCTTTACTTCTTCAGATTGATCTCTTCCGACCACGAATCCGGTGATTTTTCTCCTCCTCCTCCTTCTCCTTCTCCGTCATCTTCACCTTCCCAGTCTCTAGTTAAATCGGTCTGTTCATTGGTCTGTCATTCCTATCTCCGTCAAACCCATGTCATATTATCCCCACACCGCGTCAATCTCGACCTCGACGCTAATTCTCTTACCCACGAGCAAGCGATCACCGTGGTGGCTACACTCGCGAGCGAAGCCGGTTCGATGGTGGCTCTCTGCTTCTTCTACTGGTCACTGGGTTTCGAAAAGTTCCGACATTTCATGAGACTGTATCTCGTTACCGCTGATTCTTTGATTGCCAATGGGAATCTGGAGAGAGCTCATGAGGTAATGCGATGTATGCTTAGAAATTTCTCGGAGATCGGGAGGTTAAACGAGGCTGTTAATATGGTTATGGATATGCAGAATCAGGGATTATCACCTAGCGCGATAACTCTGAATTGCGTTCTTGAGATTGCGATAGAGTCGGGTTTGATAGAATATGCAGAGAACGTGTTCGACGAAATGTCTGTGAGAGGAGTTTGTCCCGATTCAAGCTCTTATAAGCTTATGGTTATTGGTTGTTTTAGAGACGGTAAGATTCAGGAAGCTGATAGGTGGCTAAGCGGAATGATCCAAAGAGGGTTTGTTCCTGATAACGCTACATGCACATTGATACTTAGTGCTTTATGTGAGAATGGTTTAGTGAATAGAGCAATCTGGTATTTCCGTAAGATGATTGATTTAGGGTTGAAGCCGAACTTGATTAATTACACGTCTTTGATCGATGGGTTATGCAAGAAGGGGAGTATCAAGCAGGCTTTTGAGATGTTAGAGGAAATGGTTAGAATTGGTTGGAAGCCAAATGTGTATACGCACACGGCTTTGATTGATGGGTTATGTAAAAGAGGATGGACTGAGAAAGCGTTTAGGCTGTTCTTGAAACTCGTTCGTAGTGATAATTACAAACCTAATGTGCATACTTATACTTCGATGATTGGTGGGTATTGCAAAGAAGATAAGTTGAACCGTGCAGAGATGTTGTTTAGCAGAATGAAAGAGCAGGGTTTGTCTCCTAACGTGAACACGTATACAACGCTTATCAATGGCCACTGTAAAGCTGGAAACTTTGATAGAGCGTACGAGTTGATGAATGTGATGGGTGGTGAAGGTTTTAGGCCGAATATTTATACGTATAACGCGGTTGTAGACAGTCTCTGTAAGAGATCAAGGGCATCTGAAGCTTATGAGTTGTTGAATAAAGCATTTTCTTGTGGACTAGAAGCTGATGGAGTTACTTACACTATTCTTATTCAAGAACAGTGTAAGCAAAGTGACATTAAGCAAGCTCTTGCGTTTTTCTGCCGGATGAAAAAGACTGGTTTTGAAGCCGATATGCGGTTGAACAACATTTTGATAGCTGCATTTTGTAGGCAAAAGCAAATGAAGGAAAGTGAGAAGCTTTTTGAGTATTCGGTGAGTCTTGGCTTGGTTCCAACGAAGGAGACTTATACGTCAATGATTAGCGGGTATTGTAAGGAAGGTGGCATCGATCTGGCTTTGAGATATTTTAACAACATGAAGAGGCATGGATGCGTTGCAGATAGCTTCACCTACGGTTCGCTAATAAGCGGTCTGTGCAAGAAGGCCATGGTAGATGAGGCTTGTAAGCTTTACGAAGCGATGATTGACAAAGGTATTTCTCCTTCTGAGGTGGCTCGGGTCACGTTAGCGTACGAGTACTGTAAGAGGAATGATTCGGCCAATGCAATGATTCTGTTGGAACCGTTGGATAAGAAGCTGTGGATTAGGACGGTTAAGACACTTGTGAGAAAGTTGTGTAGCGAGAAGAAAGTTGGAGTGGCTGCTCTGTTCTTTCAGAAATTGTTGGAGAAAGATGGTAACGCTGATCGCGTTACCTTGGCTGCTTTCACTACAGCTTGTTCTGAGTCTGGCAAAAACAACCTTGTTGCTGATTTGACTCTGAGAATCTCAAGAGGAGTAGGCTAGAAGGGGTTGTGTCTTCCTCAGTTGCTTCGTGCTCTCTGTTTGAAAAGCTAAATCCCACATTGTGGTTCAAGAAACTATGGAATGTAACCGTTGAGGCAATCGCATGGATTGTGATTGTTGCATTCTGAATCAATTCATACCGGTTTTATCGCCGGTTAGTGGATTGGAAAGACTGAGAGTTGGATTTGGACTGTTATCACCAAAACATGACTGTGACAGTGAAATACAGTACCTTCTTCCCTGGTCTTTGGCCATTCCAGCCTTAAATGGTGGACTTTAAGCTTCTCTGTTCTTTGAAGATTATGTTCTTACTGCTGTAAAAGTACAGAGACCTTGCTGTCTGATATTATTTTAGTAAAAGATGTTAACTTTTTTGGTTTCTGAATGCAAAGCTGTGTGCTTTCTTAGAATTGTCTTTGTTCTCCGGAACCATCCAAAACTATGACAGGTGACTCGTGGGCGTGACAAAAGCAGTGACATACTTAGTCGCCAGAATTGACTCTCTAACCTTTTGGATTATGTGTATATAAAAAATGGCTAAAGATGGAACCATAAATAGCACTAAAAAGCTTGAAGCTTGTTGATGTCTTACTCCACGATCGTCAGCAACAACTGCTTCCTCTCTCTCGCTACAAAGTTCACTGCTCGTGGATCTCGTCTTCAGGTAAACATCATCGCAATTCAGTTTCCTTAATTACAATTTTCTTCGGTTTTTGTTTTGATCCGAGTATTGTTTGGATGATGCGTCAGATTCTGAGAAATTTCTAAATTTTATGTGGAAGAAAATTTGATTTCGACCTAAAAGTTTCCAACTTTTGATCCGTTATTTCCGTTATTGTCCATAAACCTCTCTGTTTGTTTCTCAAGCTGAGATTTGATCCTATGCTTTTGATTTTTTTGTCATCAGTGTACATTAGCAATGGCTCGATCGGCGGTTGATGAGACATCAGACTCCGGAGCTTTTCAGAGAACCGCATCAACATTTCGAAACTTTGTTTCAAAAGATTCCAACTCCCAGTTTCCAGCTGAATCCGGTAGATACCATCTCTACATATCGTACGCTTGTCCATGGGCTTCTAGATGCCTCTCATACTTGAAGATCAAAGGACTTGACCATGCAATAAGCTTCTCGGTTCGTTGTTTGCACAAACCCTTCACACTCCTTATCTTCATACCATTTCCTGATTGAACAGTTCACTGTTTTGATTTCCATCAGTCTGTTAAACCGATTTGGGGAAGAACCAAAGAAAGTGATGAGCATATGGGATGGGTTTTTCCGGATTCGAACACCGAGGTTCCAGGAGCTGATCCTGACCATCTTAATGGTGCTAAGAGTGTAAGACAACTCTATGAGATTGCTAGTCCGAATTACACCGGGAAGTATACTGTTCCTGTAAGTCTTTTCTTGCTTCAAAATGTTATTTTGTAAGTCTTCTTGAATCTGGAACTGGATGATTGTGACTTGTGAGTTTCGGTTTTTCATGACAGGTTCTGTGGGATAAGAAGCTCAACACTGTTGTGAACAATGAGAGTGCTGAGATTATCCGGATGTTCAACACCGAGTTCAATCATATCGCCAAGAATCCTGATCTCGACCTTTATCCTTCTCAGCTCCGAGCTAAAATCGATGAAGCTAATGAATGGATTTACAGTGGGATAAACAACGGTGTCTATAGATGCGGGTTTGCCAAGAAACAAGAACCTTACGAGGAGGTAAGTGCGATAAAAAACTGTACATATATGCTTAATTGATTCACATGAGAGAGATTTAAAAGTTTATGGTTTTTTGTTTGTAGGCGTTTAAGCAAGTGTATGAAGCATTAGATAGATGCGAGGAGATTCTTGGAAAAGACCGGTACATTTGTGGTGACACTTTGACTGAAACAGATGTCAGATTGTTTGTCACTCTTATAAGATTCGACGAGGTAAATTGATTTTAAGTTGCTAATTTCACATTGAAACCAAGAAGAAGTAAAACACATCAAGAAGATAACAATGTTGTAACTTGGGGTGCATGCAGGTTTATGCGGTCCACTTCAAGTGCAACAAGAAGCTCTTGAGGGAGTATCCGAATCTGTTCAACTACACCAAGGACATTTACCAGGTCTCCGGTATGGAGAGCACAGTGGACATGAATCACATCAAGCAGCATTACTACGGAAGCCACCCTTCGATTAACCCTTTTGGGATCGTCCCTCGTGGACCAAACGTTGATTACTCTTCGCCGCATGATCGACACAGATTCTCCAAATGACAATCTCTCTTTCAAAGATCAAATCTTTGTCACAGTGTGTTGTGTTTCTGTCTAAAGAAAGTTAGAACCTTTTACAGCAAATAAGAAGAATAAAGTTGTGTTTTTGACGTTGCAAGTGATGTCTGAATGTGAATTCTATGTTTTAAGGAAAAATCAAATAAATATATGTTACAGTTTGCAATCTCCACGGTTTAAAACAATGTTTGTTCGCAAAAGTAATTTGGTTGTTTTATGCAATTATAGTAGTGTTGGGGTTATCCTGATTACTAATTATAGTTAAGAGGGTTATTTTGTTATCAATAAACCAGTCTATACGAAATTGTTGATTCTTCAACTTGCTAACTAGACTGATTAGGAGAATCTCATGATGAATCTACATGTCCTTGTTTGTTCAGGCTCAGTAGCACTCACTTTCTTAGAAGAATCAGAGACAGAGTCCTAACAACTTTTGTAGTCTAACGAAAAGCTTTGAAGAATTGATGATAACTCGTGTAACCACTTTTATATAATCTAATCTGATAAAAGAAATTACAAAAAAGGTTCACTTAAGCAAAAAAAAAAGTAAAGAAGAAGCAAATTTCTTTCACATTCGTCTCTTGAAAAGCCTCTGTGCTTCCGCGGTAGAGTTTGGATCTTCTGCTGTCATTGGTGTCTTGAAAACCCTATCTGCTTCAGGATTAGAGAATGGATTTCTTGTTGTCTTGACAAGCCTCTTTGCTTTAAACCATTTTCTCCTTCTCTCTGGTGCTTTGTTTGCGTAATCAGATGCTGAAGTTGTAGAAGATGCATCATCACTCTTTCTTTTTTGGTTTGTTGCTTGAGAATTGTCTCTCGACTGTTGTTGCTGTTGCTGTGGCGGCTTTGCTTCTCTCTTTTTCGGTTTAGCTTCTTGCGATTCCCGCCTCTGATCATACGCAAGTCTATTAGCCTTGTCAGATAACAGAGTCCAAGCAGCTGAAACCACCTTAAACAAGTCCATCGCTCCACGAAACCTGTTCTTGTCCGGATGAAGCAGAAGTGCTAACTTCTTGTAACGTTTCTTCATTGTTTCCTCGTCAGCTTTAGTGTCTAATCCGAGTATTCCATACCAATCTGATTCTCCTCAGATTTTCTTGTTCGATGCAGAGACATTAACATCGATCATCGCCGAAATTTGTTCCAAACCATCGAGCTTCGGATACAAATTCTGAGCCTTGTTAACGAATTTCTTGGCTCCCACGTAATCCTTCTCTGAAAGTTTCCTCTCCGCAATATTTATTGCTCTGTTAGCTTCATCCTTATTGCATTCCATGTCGTCGAGAGAATATGTTTTTTTCTCACTTCTCAATGTTCTGTTTCTATACGCCTAAACCCACGATTTATCATATAGATCAAACAGCGTGAAGAACCACTCTAGTGCGAACCAGAAACGGATTTAGACTTTGAAGACGACGCGAGAAACTGAGGAAGAATCAGAGTGGATAATAAGAGGAACGGTACAATATATCAGCAAGAACAAGATTGATTTCTCTGAATTTGTAGATTGTGTGATTCTCGATTTCCTTTTTGTTCATGCCCTAGCGAACACAGGCGTCTATTTCACGCAGCTTATTTCCTTTCTAAAATATTTGTAACATTTTTTTTGGTGGAAAAAAAAAGGAAATTTTATAGCAGAGGGCCAGTAAGTTGTACTTTTTTATTTTTTTAATGATAGAAACAACATATGGGCTAATCAAAATATTTGAAAGTCAAACCTTTTTTGTTTGTCACTTTTCTATCGGTTTTGTATGTACATAATCAATGAGAAATGTACTTGATGAAGAAAAAAAACATTTGTTGTTCAAGATTCACTATTATGTCTCCATCCAAGTTTACTCCAATAGTAAAACAATTGTGAGAAAAAAAGAAAAAGAAAAAAAGAACCATATTGTATACAAAGATTCCAAATTTCCAAGTCATGAAAGGGTTACAATTCCAACTACACAACAATGTTAAAATGTTTAAGAGAAGTTAAGACATTACACATCGACGATGAAGGAGAGCACTCTCATCTTCTTGAATCGGAACTAGATGGTTGTGAAGTGTCGGTTTTTCATGACAGGTTCTGTGGGATACTGGGATAAGAAGCTCAACACTGTTGTGAACAATGAGAGTGCTGAGACTATCCGGGTGTTCAACACCAGAATTTTAAGAAGCCAGAATTTTCGATATCACTTACTTTGTAAACTGTATTGCACAGGGAAATTGGTCTGAATTCTGATAAAGAAGAGGCTCCCGGAGTTTTTGGAATGAGAGCAATTACCGTCGCATTAACTTGCCGTAACAAAGACCCGCTCAAACGTCGTGGACCAAACGTTGATTACTCTTCGCTGCATGATCGACACAGATTCTCCAAATGAAAATCTCTCTTTCAAAGATAAAATCTTTTTCACACTTTGTGTTAAGTTTTTCTGTCTTAAGAAAGAAATTTATAACCATTTACACCAAATAAGACGAATAAGTTGTGTGTTTGTGAATTGTGACGTTGCGAGTGATGTGTGAATGCGAATTCTATGTTTTGGGGGAAAACAAAATAAATATATGCTACAGTGTGCAAAAGTATTTTGGTTGTTTTATGCAACTATAATAGTGTTGGGGTTATCCTGATTACTAATTATAGTTGGAGGGTTATTTTGTTATTAATAAACCCAACGAAATTGTTTTTCTCAGTAGACCCGCTGTAGTTATTCTGTATTCACCGCCGCTATGAACCACCAAGTAGAGCCACCGGAGAAGAAGAAGAGGAAGAGGAAGACGAAGAATTCATCACCACCACCTTCACCTCCGTCTTCGTATCCGTCGTTTTCCTCACTTCCAGACGAAATCGCCGTGAATTGCTTAGCCCGGATCCCGAGGTCGTATTACCCGACACTCTCAATCGTTTCCAAAAGCTTCAGGTCATTTCTCTCTTCCTCCGAGCTATACGCAGCTCGATCTCAGCTCGGAAGCACCGAGAAGTGTGTCTATGTATGTCTATTGGATTACAGTGATCAACCTCTTCTCCAGTGGTTTAGACTTTGGATAAACCCTAATCGAAGCCTACCAAACTCCATGATTAAAAAGAAGAAGAAGAAAAAGGCAATCGGACAGCTGTTGGTTCCGATTCCGTCTTCTAATCTTACTGATCTGTCAACTGTCAAACCGGTAGCTGTTGGTTCAGAACTTTATGTAATCGGCGGACCACTCAACCGAGCAGCGTCCTCCGCCGTGTGGGTCCTCGATTGTCGCAGTCACACTTGGCGTGAAGCCCCCAGCATGAGTGTAGCCCGGAAAAATGCTTTGAATTGTGTCTACGATAGGAAAATCTATGTTTTTGGAGGAGCGGAGGAGGAGGACGATTCATGGGGTGAGGTATTCGACACCAAGACTCAGACTTGGGAACGCCTCCCTGATCCGGGTAATGAGGTACGCAAGTGTAGAGTTTGGAAAATCAGAGAGATGGAAGGAAAGATTTACTATAATTTAGCTAGCACAAACTACAATATGTATGCTTACGACACAAAGCAATGTAAATGGGAATGCGAATGCGATGAAGACTTGATTGCAAAGGTTTCCAAGCTTCCGAGTTCAGAATATGTGAGGTCCTCTAGTTTCAGGCACTTGGGGTGTAGTGTGTATGATGTTGAGGATGGTCGCTGGAAAGTAGTGAATGGGTTAGAGTCACTGGAAGATAAGTTCAAGAGGAATGGTGGCTCAAGTGGTCATATCGCCAAAGTAGTTAGATGTGGTTGGAAACTCTTTTTCATTTGGGAAGGCGTTACGAGGAGAAATTCCTATAATAGGAAGAAGATTTGGTGCGCAGAAATAGAGCTCCAAAAGTGTTATGGGGGTGAGTTGTGGGGAAACGTTGAGTGTATTGATCATGTGCTTACCGTGCCCACGAAATGTCAGATCTTGCACTGTCACTCTGTCTCGGTTTGATTGACTTGTATCCCAAGGTATGACCATTCGTTTTGCATTCACTGTTAGTTTGTTTGTAAGATATAATTGAAAAGCATGTATCTTGTAGTAGTATCTATATACTTATCGGGAGAAAAGGTTCTTTTAATCCTCAACATTGGCAAAATGGACACAAGTTTGGTCAATGTTCCGAGTTAGGTCTTCATCATAATCTTAATCTGCACATTCACATATACGTTGATCCAGTTTGGCTCAAGCCTATGGAAAGTTTGAGTCTATTTACTTTAATGAAAAAGTTCATGCTTTCATTTATAGGATTTGCCAAAGTTGGAGATTAGAAAGTATATTTTTTTCCCTCATACATATCTGCTTTAATGTATAATATGAATGTATGTTGACCAGTTGGAAAAAGGAGAAAGAAGCAGAGGGAATAGGAGAGCAACAAGAGTGAAAGTTAATGGTAACAGTCATGTTCATGATCATGAAACTTCATTTTGTAAAACTTGTCTTTGAATATATTTTATATAATCCCTTGTTGACTAAGATTCTGATTCATTATTTTGTGTTATCATATAGTGATTTTGAGTCTTTTCTTTTATAAAGTGTAGAGATGTCATAGAAAACCAAAAGTCCTTTAGGGTTATTACTTTGGAGTTTGGACACCAACCTTCAATGAACTCTTTATCCGTCATGAACCAAATATCAATTATGTTTACCTAGTGATTGACACAGATTCTCCTCACGAGAACAAAAAACTTATTTACGATCAAAATCCTTCAAAATTGACTTGTTAGAAAGTTTTTTGAAAAGCATACATTGATCTATTTCGGCGGAAGTCAGTGGAAAGTTCTGAGTTTAATTTTGTTTGATACAAACAATTTCATGCTTGTTTTATACGATTTGCCAAAGTTTGAGATTAGGAAGTATTATTTTTTCCCTCATACATATATGCTACTATGTATAATATGAATGCCACTATTTATAAGTATTATTTTGTTATCAACAAACCTAAAAAGATCATCGTATGAAATTGTTTAGAGATAATACCAAATCATTTCTCTCCATTAACCTAGTTTTTCACACAACAAAAAAAGAAAAAAAAGTTCACCGCCATAATGAACCTCCAAGTAGAACCACCGGAGAAGAAGAAGAGGAAGAGAAAGACGAAGACAAAGACATCCTCACCTTCACCTCCGTCTTCGTATGCGTCGTTTTCCTCACTTCCAGACGAAATCGCCGTGAATTGCTTAGCCCGGATCTCGAGGTCGTATTACCCAGCACTCTCAATCGTTTCCAAAAGCTTTCGGTCACTTGTCTCTTCCACTGATCTCTACGCAGAACGATCTCATCTCGGAAGCACGGAGAAGTGTGTCTATGTCAGTGTATTGGATTACAGTAGTCTTCTTCCCCAGTGGTTTAGACTTTGGATAAACCCTAATCGAACCCTACCCAACTCCATGATCAAGAAGAAGAAGAAGAAAAAGGCAATCGGACAGCTGTTTGTTCCGATTCCGACTACTAATCTTCCTTATCTGTCAATCGCCGAACCGGTAGTTGTTGGTTCAGAACTTTATGTAATCGGCGGACCACTCAACCACGAACCGTCCTCGGCCGTGCAGGTGCTCGACTGTCGCAGTGACACTTGGCGTGAAGCCCTCAGCATGAATGTAGCCCGGGAATATGCTTGGACATGTCTCTATGATGGGAAAATCTATGTTTTTGGAGGAGTGGATGAGGAGGACGAACCATTTGGTGAGGTGTTCGACACAAAGACTCAGACTTGGGAACGCCTCCCTGATCCGGGTACCAAGGTACGTAAGTGTAAAGTTTGGAAAATCAGAGAGGACGAAGGAAATATTTACATTACTAGTAGAAACAACTGTACGTATGCTTACGACACAAAGCAATGTAAATGGGAATGCGAATGCGATAAAGACTTGGTTGCAAAGGTTTCCAAGCTTCCGAGTCCAGAATATGTGAGGGTGTTCTCTAGTAACAAGAACTTGAGGTGTAGTGTGTATGATGTTGAGGATGGTGACTGGAAAGATGTGAAAGGGTTAGAGTCACTAAAAGATAAGTACAGGAGGAATGCTGGCTCAAAGAGTCATATCGCTGAAGTAGTTAAATGTGGTGGGAAACTATTTGTCATGTGGGAAGGGGTTACGAGGGAAAATTCCGATAATAGGAAGATTTGGTGCGCGGAGATAGAGCTCCAAAAGCGTGATGGAGTTGAGATTTGGGGAAACGTTGAGTGGGTTGATGTTGTGCTTACCGTCCCCCAAAAATGTGAGATCTTGTACTGTCACGCTGTATTGGTTTGACTGACTTGTATCCCAAGGTATGTTCGATCGTTTTGAGTTCACTATTAGTTTG